TGGTTAGTTGTCATACCTTTGGTTGGTAAGTATCTTTCCATTTGATATTATTCCGTATTTTTAATTGTTTTAAAAAATTATTTATTAATCTATTGTCTTATTAAAGTTGTCACGGAATTGGATGGTTTAAGATTTAATTCACCACCTCTTGGTACAGCAGCATCTGATGCAATTGCATTTCTTGAACAAGCAATGTCAAACAAAAAGAAACTTAAAATTCAGACGAGTAGGGGAAATTATGTATCTGGAATTAATTTTAGTGAAGAATTTGATTTTGGTGATGGCGAAGATAAAAAGAAAAATCTAGACGACCTTATTCTAGGAATTTGTTTATGGCATGCAAAGAATCAAGAAGAAAATGGTTCTTATAGTAAAACATCTAAAGAAAAAATTAATAACGAAAAAGAAGCTGTCGTATTACTCACTAACGATCGAAATCTTCGGATCAAAGCACGCGCTAGAGGAATTGATGTTATAGGAGCACAGGATCTTGCAGGATTGATATGAAGAAACAAGCAAAGGCAATATTTGTCATAATTACTCAGGAAAGTTGTTTGCATCATGTTATTATGTTTGGTTTGGCTTTTTTCGAGACATAACTTCCGAAACATGTGGCATTAAGATTTTGTCACATAGGTAAGTAAATTATTTTGTCAAACATTAAACAATTTTATATTCATAATTGATTAATTTTTCCTTTTTAAACTAGCGGCTTACTTCTATAGACGATGCCGCTTGAAATTTCTAATTTCTTTGATTTTTATAGCATGTACTAGGATGACGATCAATAACAATACACAATTGTATATATTGCGTGTTCCCGTCGTCACTTTTATAATCAAAGAAACGTTGTCTCTCGTTAATAAAAGCGAAACATCGTTTTTTGTTTTAAATTGACTGAAAAGATATTGAATTACAAAATAGACCTATTACACTATTATTCGTAGGATGTATTCTATTATAAGCGCAGAAATATTAACATGTAAATTTATGTGATACAATATCTTGTGATTATTCGAAAAAATAAAACTTTATAAATAACATGACCAAAATGTCAATCTATTTTTTTTTTCTATATTAAATCCTTTTACAATTTTTTCATAAAAATTTTTATAAAAGATTACGAAAAAATAAAATAAAAATTCAAAACTATCAAAATTATAATGTTAAAAAAGTAGATATTATATCAACTTTGGCGACCCAGGCATGGAACGAACAGGAAAATCCGGCCGTATATTATCTTTTCATAGAACTAGCAGATCTAGACAAAAAACGTTTATTATATTCAAATCCAGAAATTTCCGTAGAAAATTTTTATATGAACGATTTGATGATTTTCCCTAATATTGAAATTGTCGAAAATCAAAATACTGACAATACCGGAATTGCTCTGGAAGAAGTCATGTATATAATAATTATTATCAATCAACATCATATTCTGTTCCTTATGACGAAAATTTTTCTTCTCCACCGTCAATGGTCATAGAAAATTTCGAAAATTTTCAAAAAAGAAAACATAAACTACCATCAACAATATCAACAATGGACAAAAATTAAGGAAAAAATGATCAAGATAGCTGAAACAATTGAATTATTTTTAACGAAATTATTTAGGATTGTTTAAATCAATATTTTTGTCGAATTTCTTGAAAGTTCAAAGTGTGGACGACCTCTGATATCCCACAAACTACAACCATTCCAATAGCACAAATAATGTAGATAATTACATAGTTTTGAAAAGTATTATAATAACTTGATATACACTTATATTAAATAGTATTAGTATTTCCAAATGTTCTTTCTCTAGTTAAACTTTCATTAACGTAAAATAATCATAATCTATACTAGCAAATTGACTTTAACCAGAATTTCGGAAAAATGGAAATTATATAATTAAAATGTTGAGAAATATAATCGAAAAAGAATATCATTATTTAGATAAAGAAAAATTACAATATTTAAGTATATTAATATCTCTCCGACTTTATTACTTATTTTTTTTTTGTAGTATTATTTAAAATTTCTGTGGTTTCCGAACAGTAATTTCTTGAAGTTGTACACAATAAAATAAAATATTGTGAACTTTGGAATGACTTTATAATTAAAGCGAACTTGAATCACCGTATTGTAGTAACCTGCATTATAACTTCATATTAAATAAATAAGTTTCAGATTTTTATATAGGATAAAGAAATAATTATTAGATAATAAAGTAAATATGCATAAAACTTTGAATATTCAATATGATAATATGAATAATTTGATTTATTAAAAATACGCGGAAAAGGTAAATACAGATTCAACTTTAAGGCTGGGACAATGTTATAGATAATATGAATAAAAAGAATTTATTTGCATTATTAAGTGTAAAAATTAATAATACATTTCATCAGATTCTGTGTTAAAATAATGTCTCGACTTTTCTATAGCCTTAAAATAATTTACGTTCCAGTGATCAATAAATGGTTTAAGCGTGATTCATATTGACGAAATCGATTAAGTAAATATCTTGGTGGTAATCTAGGCGCAATGTCATCATCATTGATGATTCTCCAAAGGGTTCTGTGTTCGTTCGTTTTTAAGTTTAAAATGCCATGAAATGAAGATGCAAAAATCAAGGTCACCCAAAGCTGGTGATGCAAAAACAACGGCATCACGGACAATGATTTTTTTTTTCAAGAGAACTTTGGATCTTAATTAATCTTGGAATAAACGGAGATGAGTATAAAAGATATTTCACAACATAAAACATTTAAATTATTAAAAAATTGCATAAAATGTTTGAGCTAAAGCACCACCAAGCGAATGACCAGTAACCCAAATATTTACAGGTATAGGGTTGTTCCATTTTTCGACTTTCTTAAGTATGACCTCAACTAAACTATTGGCAGTGCATCTCTTTAAAGGATCATCGTAATCAGTAAATAAACTATAATAAAATCCTTTATGCATCATCCCATAGACGAATGATTGCATCAACCCGATTAAAAAGAAAATCAGTTATAAAATCACTGATAACTGGTGGTGAAGAGCCTTTAAATGCCACAACGATAAAATTTTTTTCTTTGGACCAAAATAGTCCAGCAAATATATTTTCAGTTGATTTTAATTCACCGAAAGAGTGAAATTTTATTCCCCAAGAACGAATTATTTCATCAATTCTCTTTTTTGCGTCCTTTCGGCGTTTTTTTATTGTTGACTTCGTCGTATCTCTCATTTTATTGTAATTCGGGTTTCCACGATAATATACAACGGAGCTGAAAAACAATAGGGTCTCGACCAAGTCAACATTGAAAGGAATAGGTTGAGGCGGATTTAGAACTGGAGATTTCAATACGATCATACTGTTTTCTGTTAATCAAAAATTATTCGGATTTTAATTCACTACCCATAATCCAAAAATGGATAAAACTTTAAAGAATCATACTTAATTTGTCACCATTATAGCCACCCCATTCATTATTGTCGTAATAATTGATATTATCAAGCAAACCAAAATAATTAATTCCTCAACCCAAAACTCATAATCAAAATGACAGGAATAGCAGCAGGATAAAAAATACACGTGAAAAAAAAATTAATTGGTCGAGTAATTGGCATTGTCCAGTTTGTTAAAAATGTATAGAAAAGGTGAACAAATATTTCACACACAATTTCTCAATTTTTAAATTTTAAAACCGAATTTTTTAATATATTTTTTATTTTTATTGTGTTAGATTACAACTTGAACTCTTTTTGATATACTTTCTACTAAATTTTTAAAATTTTCAAGTTTAATTTCATTTCATTAATTCATGGGGATTTTTTGAATGGGATTATTTTTCTTTCTAAATAAATGCTCAATTAGATTGAAATCTGGGACAAGGAATATTTATTATCAAATAATGAATTGGGGCATTATCATCTTGAAAAATATATTCCAAATTATCTTTCAGTTCATTAATAAATGGTAAAGATTGTTTTCCAAAACTTTAATATATTCAGAAACTGTAATTCTACCAAGGTTCCAATTCAATTTTTCATAAAACATCCACACTCTGATTTTCTAATTTTACTGTTGGAATTATCATTCCAAATTATTGTATTCCAATCAGATACCAAAGATTTTTTCTGTACAACCATAAAAGCCTTTATAGTGTTGAGGCGGCACGAAAATAGCCGGAGTCACGGGGGATGATAGAGGATGATATGTGTCACTATTTGGATGAATTATCCTTGTGTGTCATCCATCATCCAGGATAACTGTTTATTCATCCTGGCACAAAAACGTTTTTATGGATGACAGAGGATGAGGGTAAACAAGGATAAAAATTATAAATAGCTGCGGTAGGAAAAAAAAGAAAAAGAGATTCCTTTTCGCCAAAAAAGAACAAGAGCCAAAATAAAAATATTTTTCTTGATATTTCGAACAATTTTAATTTGTTTTATTTTTACTTAAATATTTTGAACATTTTAATTTAGTTTTATTTTTTTACTTTCCATTCGTAATACTTTTTAATAATAATAAATAATATAGTCGCGGAACTAGCGAAGCGATAAGATACGCCAAAGCAGTAATATATCGCTATTGTTATTCTCTTTTATTTCTTTTATATTTTAATAATTTCGATAATAAATAAATAATTTAGTGTAGTGGAATAACAAAAGTGACAAGATATGCCAAAGCAGTAATATATTGTTTTTGTTATATCTTATATCAAACTTTAATAAAATATAATAAGCTATTTCTTTATTGGCAAGTTACATCAAAAGTCTACAATAGTTTTAGTTGTGTAGAAGTGATAATAAAGATACTTTTACTCCACTTGCTCATTGTACCTTCAGATATTACATGTAGCTACATAAGCGTGATTGTTAGTAAGCAGGTTTAGATCGACTGATTACCTGATCTTACTACGTGAGAGTAATTTCATTGTGTAATAAATTTGAGACTGATTGGCATAACTTTCCATATCGTTCTGCACAGACTGTGACAATATCATGAAAAACTATTGCACGAAAAACATGTATTAAAAAAAAAATCATGCATTAATGATTAATCACTTATGCTTTACGCAAAATTATACAATTTATAAGTGCTTTGAGAATTTCAACGAAATACATAAGTCATAAAGTGGCTGTGCTCTATGCATCTATTCTTTGATTTAGCATTCCTAATGTGAAAAAATAATTTATATTGCAAGTAACAATATATATGACACAAAAAATGAAAAGGTGAGAACAAATTGATCTTCAGGCTTATAGCTAAACCAAATATTTTACTTGTCTTGATAATTATACAGATATGAATTTCTGTAATGATTTTATTGGTTAATTTTCTTTCTATAGTAATTCTTTTTGGAATACATTCTTTGTTAACATTCTATTTATACTGCATATATTTTAAGTTGTTCAGTAATTACAAATATTTGATTAATACTTTTTTTTTGGTTCATAAAAAGGTTTGACTTTTGAGAAATCAACAATTGACTTGTGAATGTAAGTGAAAACTCTGATAATTTTGAATTTTAATAATATCACGTATAACTAAAGTTAATTCTGCCATATTTTTCATTAATTCACTCATATCAATATTTGAATAATTTTATTATTAAAAAATATAATATTAGAATTATGACGAAGAATATTCAATACAATTTTATGCATCAACATTGGTCGATTGATCAAAAATTGGCAAATTTTTGATGATTTGCACTATATCTAATTTTTGAATGATTTTTTTATAATAAAAAAGAAGTAATCGATTGTCTTTACCTTTTTTATTAATAAAATATCAAAATTTCGTTAAGTAAACTGATAGTCTAGAAAGGAAAGCACTTACTGAAAAAATTTTAGACTTAAAGCTCACAATTTAAAGAAAAAATAGACATTTAAATTTTGAATACCCACTCAAATTTTAAATGTCTATCTTTCCCTTAATTTTCAAGCTTTAGGTCTAATATTTTTTTGCTAGGTGCATTAAAAACTTTTATAAGTGATTATTATCACTGATTTTATATATAATTGATACTTATATATATTATATATAAAATCAGTGATCATTACCACATATAAACGTTTTTAATTTTATAACTAAATTGTAAAAATATTATTAAGTAAAACTATAGCTAAGAAAAAAGTGCACCTACTGAAAAATTTTAGACCTAAAGCTTGCAAATTAAGGGAAAGGTAGACATTTAATTTTGAATGATAGTCAAAATTTAAATGTCCATCTTTCTTTTAATTTGCAAGTTTTAGGTCTAAAATTTTTTCAGTAGGTGCACTTCTTTCTTATCTATGAGTTTACTAGTAAGATTTTTCATATTTTACTAATAAATAAATATAAATTATTGATTTTTTTTTATTATCATTTGAACAGTGCAAGTTTTTGAAATATCATAATTGAAATTAACTACTTATTAACATTATTAATTTTTTGTAAATTTTATTTGTATTTATTAAGTTAATTAATTATTAATTTAGGAAATTAGTCATATAAGAGAGATACCTTCAAAATATTCAATATCTAAAATACCGTGAATTCATATTATTTTTTTTTAATTCACAATTTTAAACCAAATAATATTGAATTGCTGAATGCAAAATTATTTTTGATGAAAAAGATGTGATAAAATCAAAATATTTTTCTGTTGATATTTAGTTGAATAATATATTATAAATGACTGAATTTAGAACAAATTTGTTTGACTATATAGCAACCGAAAAAAGCAAGTTATATAGATTGAGATAATTAAAAAATGATAAGTTTCTTTAACATATTTACTAATTATGAATTTTGAATAATTTCATGTATTTAGATATATTGTTTAAATATAATTAACAGTTTAAAAATAATTATCATAAAATCAATAAGGTATATGTATAATATCATTTAAAAGCCAAGAAGCTTTTAATAATGATACACAATAATTTTTGTTATAAGCCAATATTAAGATATTTAATTTAAATTTTTTATTTGAAGCATTAATAAGATAATTAAAGCAAAATTAGAAGAGGAGAATTTTTAATAATAAACACTTAGATTATTTCTATATATTAATTAGAATAATATTATAAGAATATGATCTCAAAAAATATTATGCTACCAAATAATTTCTGAAATTTTTTATTTACATAGTTATATATTTTGTTATTTTAATTAATTAATCATGACTAATTAGGGCTTGGATCCGTGTTATCCGGATATCTGAATGACCTTAAAATCGGATATCCAGATGAACTCGGATGATTTCCTAAAATTTTTTTTCACCCAATTTCACCTGGCTTCACCCAGTTTGGAATATAAACCAGGTGAAATAAGTTTGATCGTCAAATTTACAATCAAAAATAATTGTTGATAGTTGTTACATATAAAACTTTTAAATCTATAAGTAAATATTAAAATCTGTGATAAGCAAACTTAAAGACGAGAATCATGTACATATTTAATAGAAAGGAAAAACTTCTATCATTAAAATTGAGAGAATAATTAGCAATAAAATTTGAACGGATAAAAAAATCCATTCAAAATTTAGCTGCTAATTATTCTCTCAATTTTAATGATAGAAGTTTTTCCTTTTTATTAAATATGTACATAATTCTCGTCTTTAAGTTTGCTTATCACAGTTTTTAATATTTACCTATGATTTAAAAGTTTTATATGTAACAACTATCAACAATTATTTCCAATTTTATAATTACATTATAACATTGTTAACCTTATTTCTTAATTATTTATATATATTTTTATTAGCATTATTATATTAGTTTATTAGTTAGATTTCTTTATTTGTATAACATTATATATTAG